TAGAAATTGATTTAAAGTTTACCTATTTGCTTCATCACCCGATTCATCCCAAATATCTCGATTCCACCCAATTGAACGGTCAGACTTTACAGAATCGCCGGAATCTGGAATTGAGCGTCGCGTCTTCTCGGTCCATCCCGTGGAGTCGTCGTCTTCCCTGCTTTCTTTGCACCAGCTCGACTCCCAGTTCGACTTGTCATTATCCAACGAGGTTCTTTCGCACCAGTCTTCAGATACCGGGAAGTATTCTGGACTCGGACTGTTCTCGCTCGAGCAAGCCTGCAGGCCAATCTTCGCGATGTTCCATCGTTCGCAGTCTTCATCGTCCTCGGTCTTGACCAAGAATACTGGCGAAGGTTCATGACTCGATGTGACTGTGCCAAGAGGAACGGCGATGCTAGTGGTTTCGCTGGCTGCGACGGAGTACACTGGCGTTTGATGAGGTTGTACTCCTGCCAAAGGACTGGCAGTCTCTTCAATAACATCCTCGATATCGACAATCATCGCCTCTGGCTCGGAATCTTCTACCGCTGTATCCTCCGGATCTTTGATCCTCTGTGAGTTATCTGGGACAAATGGATGCAATAAATTATTAATAACTGATAGACAATTAAATGTAACAGCATAGGTATGGTTTAGATAAATCAGAAGTAAATAAACTGAAATATAATATTTTATAAAATTAAGCGTAAACTATATTGTAATTAATTAAAGATATGAAACTACGCTTTTGAAAATTATTTAACTAATGTAAGCGCAGGTAGCAAACTAATGTTATTTATTTTCACGTTAAAATGACAACAAATAATGTCAACTTTTCAAGGAATATAAAAGTCAGCAACAGACGTGCGAATTAATAAAAAATCAAAATAACTTTATTTTATCAAATTTTATCACCAAAAATCATCATTTTGACTTTCTCTTAACTTGGTGTGTTCCTTGAGTAGTTACCCAGAAGATTATTTGAGAATGTTAAAACATAAAAGACGTTGAAGACAGATCATTAGAGTAGAATAGTGTACTTACTAGGGACTGGTAAAACATCTATCCGATTGTCATCTTCGAGCTTGCCTGCAGAAGTAAGAGATTGAAGACTCGCGGAGCGACGTAATGTGAACGATTCGTCGCGAAGGCTGCCTTCGAAGACACTACCGTCGGATTTAGATCGCTTCAGAGTCCAGTGGAATGCATGATTCTTGCCTGTAAAATTACGGAATAACAATATTTTAGTAATTGTTATGTCAGAATATCAAGTTTTTCAAAATTACTTAATCTTACTCATCGTACTTGGCTCTGTCAATGCAACTTCGTTCGAATCTTGCGCGAATGGTGTATAGCCTGGCCCCAAAAGGCGAAACGTGGAAGATCTCGGAGATATTCCGCGGTATTTCTCCCAGTCGTACAGTTTCCTCGTAAATTCTCGAGATATACCCTCGAAACGGTAAGAGCCGACAGACGTGCGAATCAACACTTCGTTACCACAGTTTACGCCTCGAGACGCAGCCATGAATCTTGAATCAATGGAAACGCTCAGTAATTCGTAAAGCGCGATTAACTAATTCTATTATTATATGTAAAAACTGCTTCATTTCACCAGGACTTAATTTTCCAAATAAGTGTTGGGTTTTTTATCTTATTTTATAATAATTTCTTCTATTTTAAATAATGCAAACCTTTATTATGAGACTATTCATTTTTAAATAAAAAATTAACGTAGCAATATAATTTAAAAACAATTTTAAATAACAATTGCAAATCTATTTTATTCACATATGGACAGAATGATTTAAAAAGAGATAGCGATGTTTGTCCAGGAATATGTAAATTGATTTGAAACTATTCCTGCAAGCTATATTTAATGTCATTAATTACAGTGCACATTTGTGTTATGTCATAATAATTAAAAAACGTGATATCTTTCAGATGTTCTTTACATCGTTCGAACTTTCGTACCTCGAATCACCATCAAAGCAATCATTCAGTTGTCTCGCATCGCTCTCTCGAAGTTCCTTCTTGGTCCTCTGCCCAAATAGCAGAAGCAGCTTTTCCAAAGCAAGAAACTCCGTTTCATCAATGTCAGACGCAACACGATTTGTCGTCGGTGATTTCGGTCTCTCGCCACTTCGACATGAGGCCTCGCTCATTCTCCTCCATGCTTCCATCCTTTTAATGAAATCCTCGCAAAGATATTGCTTCCCATCGCTGCCGAAGCTCCCCGCGCTGCCGATACTCGCGCAGCTTCCGCGCGAGCCGATCGAGTTCTGATTTTTCTATCGTGCGAAAAATGTCGGAAAAATGTTCAGAAATCAAATACAATAAAAAATGTTCAGAAATGTTGCAAATCAGAAAAAAGATACGTAGATCGTGTCAATTGTAATACGAAAGAGATCTTTTGGATGGGCAAAGTTTTCGATTAAAAATAGTTTCTCATCTTCTATCTTAATTAGAAGACTATGACAATGTCTATCAGACTAGAAATTGAGATTGAGATAGAATTTAACTAATCAAAGTACAGTTTAGTTTTTGTGAAGTAAAATTTAATTTTTCATTGAATTTGGTAGAAAGATGATTTTCTTAATACACAAAAGAGAATTTTTTCTTAGATTTTATCCTAAAAATATGGTAATCGTGAGACAATTCTAAGAGAAAATTCTTTCCATGAAGAAAGTCAAGAAATGGGCAAGTACATGTAATAAAAAACTAAAAATATGGTAATCGTGAGACAACGCTGTATTTCGAAGAATTTTATGTAATTCTCACTTATTTACTAATAAAACTACAATAAAACATAAAATAAATTTAATTAATTTTACTGAAGTGTATGGTAGAAATCTTTAAAATATTGCATTGTACCACAATTACCATATTTTCAGGGTAAATTCTAAGAGAAAATTCTTTCCATGAAGAAAGTCAAGAAATGGGCAAGTACATGTAATAAAAAAATAAAATTTATTACAAATTAATCAAAATAAGAATTAAAATATAAGTGAATAATAAATAAACAATAATTTGTAATAAATTCTATTATTTTTTTATTTCATCCACACTTGCTCGTTTTTTGGTCATATTCACCTTATATATTGGTTTTTTTTCTTTTGGTTGATTATAAATTCAATCTCAATTTCAGTCTCAATCTGATACGGGCACAATATAGGGTAATTCCGGTATATACGCCGCGCTGGGATTTACGTCGCGGAAGTCAGAAAAAATAGGAGTGAAAAATAAAAAAAGGAGGAAAAATAAAAGCGAGCTACTTGAGTTATAATTTCAGCTTCTTACTGTTAATATTAATGAAATTATTGTGAGTTGAATCGATTTGTCACTGTGTGTGTAACAAGTAGCATCATCATAAATTATGATCTACATAAAATGATTACTGTAAGGCATGTAAAAGACCTAGTGGTTATTTCATGACACATACGTGTAGAGGAATAGTAAAGCGTGTTGTATAGCAAAATACAAGTGCTTTGCTTTCGTATTCTTTGTTTAGTTTGTT